ACAAATGATGTTTGAATTCTGGTTTTTTTTTTTTTCATTTAAAATAGTATTGGCATTTTCTTGTTATTGTAAATGGACTTTCATGGCTGTAGTGTCCCATAAGATATACCTACCATGATTTACTTAACCACCTTATAGAGCATTGAGGCTAGTCCTGTTTTTCCAGTGTAAATCATAGCATGATTAAATATCTAATGAGTTCCCTAGTTTTATTCTTATCTCCTAAGATAAAAGCTCTCAGGTTCGAATGTTTTAAATATTTTAAAGACTCATTGTTCAAACTGCATTCCAACCATCAATCCAGTTTATATCTCACCAGCATTTGAAGAAACTACTCAGGCGACAGAACAGCACTTGAAAACTGTTTCACAAGGCTGCCTTGGTTCATATGCTGAAATGTGGGAGAAAGCCCTTGGCTGGCTGTGTCCACAGTTCATTTTAGCAAAGCCCCCAAGCAAAGCCAGAAGCTACTATTCATATTCATGATCTCAGGCTGGGGAAAGTGCTTCTAATTTTTGCAACATAAAGGAGGTCTGATGACAGTGACAGAACTGAGCAAGGACCCAGACTTGCTGACCGAAAGTTGGTAGGAAGCTGGAGCACTGGACTCAAGTCTCCGCATAGAAGCCTAGTGCTTTCCCTCTTTCAGTTCAAGACGTGTGGTGTATGGAGATATTTTTATGAGGCTGAAGAAACAGTAGAAGCAGAAGGCAAGTTTGAAATTACAAAATTGTCAGAAGTTACAGCTAAAACTGCCTTCATTAAGCTGTTAGGTTTGCTGTGTGTACTGTCACAAACAAGGATGTGTTTACTGTTTGCATTAGAATTGAAATACCTGTTTCCTTTAGAATTTTTTCAGCGTGAATTTTTTTTCTAATAGGTATTTGCTTTTCCCGTGTACTAGATATGCAGTCAGTTTCTACTTCCCACTATTTAAATATAAAACAAGGCTGGAATACAGCTCAGTGGTAGAGCATGTATCTAGCATGTGAAGGGCTTGGATCCAGTAAATACCCAACACAAAAATGAAGCAAACAAAAAGTAAACAGCTATAGTCTGACTTTTTAATGAATGTCATCTTTGCTTATGTACTGAAAAACATACAAAATAGTAATATGAAAATTAATATTTAATGTAGTCCCATGTGTAACAATGGAAAACCTCATTCATTGCCTTAAGTTCTTGGAAAAAATCTCTCTCTCTCTCTCTCTCTCTCTCTCTCTCTCTCTCTCTCTCTCTCTCTCTCTCTCTCTCTCTCTCTCTCTCTGGTTTTTGGAGACAGGGTTTCTCTGTGGCTTTGAAGGCTGTCTTGGAACTAACTCTTATAGACCAAGCTGGTCTCGAACTCACAGAGATCCGCCTGCCTCTGCCCCCCAAGTGCTGGGATTAAAGGTGTACACTACCACCTCCTGGCCTTTCTCTTTTTTAACACCACCTAAATTATAATTATTTTCATTTTAAAACACGGTCTGATGTGATTTTCAGTTGCCATATTAGATCTGTTCAAAATAAGAAGTATGTATGTTCTTGACACATAATCTATGATATTGTAAGGGAATTAATGGGATGTTAAACAATTTTACTTATGAGAAGAGAAGAATTTTGGTTCCAGAACAACTTAACCCAAAGGAAAAATTAATTATAGCCTAGAAAATATGAAAGGGAATTTAAGTAGAAATCATATGTTAGAATAGAGAAAACTTTGAAATAATGTACTTTAATGTGTTATTGTCACAAGAATCTCAGAGTTGTGAAGATGGAGCTGTGCTGTCCACATCAACGTCCATTCTCTGTCTATAAAGTTATCTCATTGTGTGCATCACTGTGGTTATTCTGTTGAATTATATTTACTCCAGCTTAAATTACATAAATGCTAGTGAGTGCTTATTTCTGGAATGTTGATGAGTTAATTGAGTATGCCAGTTTAAACTCACAAGCTCTGTCTAATATAGACATAAATGTGGAAGTCACTGAGGAAGACAGCAAACATGAGTGGCATTGCTTATGAGTTACCGTTACCTCTGAATAGAAAGTAATTAAAGGGAAAAAGTCCAGGAGAGTTGGAGGAAGATATTTATTATTGGAAAACCAGGAATTTGTTTTTCAAATAGTAAGGCATTTAGGTCAGGTAATTTGTATAAAGTGACAAAAAAAACCTGACAACACAGAAATGTTTTTCTTAAGCAAAAATGGAAGTCTGGAGTAATGGTGCGTGCATTCTGTAATCCTGCCAGCAGCAGGGACTGTTACCCTCAGTTTTCATGACGTTCTAGGGACCACGCCTCAGGGAAAACTGGATCCTTGGCCTCTCACAGAGAAGAGTTTCTGTACAAGCCAGTGTGAATTAGTTAGAATTTATAAAATGACATTTCTTTTTTACTTTTATCTGCATTTATTTTATGCCGAATTTATTCCCGTGCCAGAAGTTTTTGTTTCTTCAGTTTCTTCTGGGATATCTTTGTCTTCTGTGCAACCTCCTCTTCTGGCTTTGGAACAATCTGTTCCTTTTCCGTGAGGATCATCTTGATGTAGCAGGGGGGAGCTCATGTATGGTTTAATCCAGCTGTGAGCTCTGTAAATTTGTCTATGTATCTTGGATGTGTTGTTCACCTGGATGTGTTCCATGACCAGAGAATCTGCGTCTAGACCCTTAAGCTCAGCATTACTCTCTGCATTTTTAAGCGTGTGCAGCAAAAATTGAGCACTCTTTTTTGGCCACCCACCCTGTGTCCAGCCCCACTGTTTGACTTGGGCGCACCTGCGACTCTACCATTGTACCGCCAGAATGGCACACATTGCTTCTTCAAAGTGACATCTTTCAGGTATTTGGTGGCTTTTCAGATATGCATACCCTTGATGGCCTGGGCAGTTTCACGGGTATTCTTAAAGTGAACCCAGAGATTTGAACCTCTTGACTTGCATGATTTTATAAGGTTTTCTGGGTTGAGAGAGTAGAGAACCATCTTCACAGGTTACCTCAGGTGGCTTACAGGAAGAGGAAGTCATAAAATGGCATTTCAAATGCAGAGTTTAAGCACAGAGTTGAGAGAAAAAGGCTGCGTGAATCAAGGCACACCTGAGCATGACTATGGGCTTCCTTGAGCCCATGTGACCTTCATACATGGTCTGCCCATAGTAAAAATATGTCTTCCCAATCCAATACTAAATTGTACGTGTGTGCTGTGTTTAGCAGAATGTAAATGCATTTTTAAAAATAGATCACTCAAATAATGCCCAAATCCTTTGATGAACTTTGACAATAGATTAAAATGAAGATTTTGTTAATTATTAATACCTTTTTATGATTTAGTATCCCACTGTTTTCATCCTGGTTCCATAGTTACTGTGTGGACAACCACCTATGATTTTAAAAAGCTTATTTTTATGTACCTAAATGTCCTTCATTATGAAAATACCAAAAAAGTTGTTTTTTTGTTTTTGTTTTTGTTTTGTTCTCAAGTGGCAGTTGAGAGAAAGCCCAAGTACGTCTTAAGAGATGTATTAAAAGTGGCTTTAAATAATGAGCCACATCTGTAACCAGCAGAAATTATTGCTGTCGCAAACCTTGGTGTCTCCCAGCATGCTTCTCTTCAGTGTGAGCACTATGGGCGTGTGCACTTCTCAGACTGTAGAGCTCCGTAAACAGCAGCATCACTGGTTAAAATGCAAAGCCGTATGGACTGAGAACATGTGGCTCTTTTACAAGACCTTTAATTTCCATATGTTCTTAATAGCCATACTTCTTGAACATAATGAAATGAGAATGTAATTTAACATTTTTATGATGTAAAAAGAAAGTATGTGCCCCTCCCTAATTATAGGATGAAGGCACTGTTTCCATTGTGAACACTTTTATCATCACTCTAAGCACTTGGGAAGGCAAATGGTGTAGCTATTATATCTCATCTTACTATGTGTGCCATGTTTAGAAATTCTTGCCAGTGAAAATTTCTATTTGGATAGTATGTATGCAAGTACACATGTCCTGTAGAGGGAAGCAGGGTGTTCTCAGGAAATCAGGCATTGAATTAACATAGGCTGAGTAGCCTGGATTTGCTAATGCCTGCCTATTGTAGGTAGACTCCAGCTGTACAAAGCATGCGTCTTTAAAGATTTCCCCAAAGTCAGTACTTCTGCTTTAAGTTTAGCCATGTATCACTGATTTTAAGGTGGGTAGACCTCAGCTACATATTGGATGTTTTTGTTTGTTTGGCTGTTTGGGTTTTTGTTTGTTTGCTTGTTTGTTTTGTTTTGTTTTGAAACGTTTGGTGTTTCAGAATATTCCAGAGAAACCCAGATCTACCCTTGATGGCCTCCACAGACAAGAGCTGTCAGATAGGTAGAAAATGTCACTTAGCTGGTTACCAATATTAGCATGCTGATATTGGTTATCTTACAGTAATTAGAAACCTAGTTGAAATGGACAGTAACCATTAATATGTGCGTTTGAGAAACAAAGTCAGACATGGGCTGCACTAGAGAGCCATGATAAAAGGAGTCCTTGGTGAAGTTTTTGATCTTAAAAAAGTCTGTGCATGAGTGTTTTGCCCCTCTGTGTGTCTGTGCCCCATGTGCCCTCAGAGGCCCGAAGAGGGCATCAGATCCCGGGAACCTGGAGTTGTAGACAGTTGTGAGCTGCATGTGGGTGCTGGGAATCAACCTGGAGCTTTTAACTGCTGAACCATCTCCACAGCCCCCTTGGTGATTTTGTTTTTAAGAGAGGAAAACCCACCACTACCTGTTAAAGAGGCACATCCTACAAAACATCTAAATATGAGGCTCGTGGGTTACATTTGGACTGGGAATGAAAAAGACTTCAGAAAGAAACTCTCACAGGCCTAGGAACCAGCCGAGTGCTCTTTACCCCTATCCCAGGGTGCGGAGGCTCCACGCCACAGCTAATTCCAACTGGCTGAAGCTGACTTGCCTAACTTGTAAGAGTTAAATAACCTTCATAAATAAGTTTGTGTAAAAGCAACAATTGTACTTTCTCCTAACAGCAGTGACGTCTTACGAAGATCTTGGACTCTTTGCATTCGGATTACCTGGAAAGGTAATTTCATTTTCTCTTCATGGGGCATTTCTTTTCCTTCTAGTTCAAAATCCATGCACATGAGAAAGACCGTAAGAGATGAAGAATAAATGAAAATAAGAGAAAGAACAATGAGACAGGAAAGTAAAGAGAAATGTGCACCCCTTCCGGAGCACATCTATAAACCAATTCAGTTTTTAAATCTTGTTGCTGACTCAATGAGCTGCAGAAGTAATGGGACTCTTAAGTTTTCCTCATTAATTTTGATCGGATCCTCTGAGTAAATCCTTAAGAGGGAAGGAAACAATCTAGAACTAGAATCATAGCCTGGCTGTTTTCAAAAGCAACTATTAGATGGTTCATATTATTTAAGAGCTGACAGTGCTGAAAGATTGCCTAGTGATCCCTTGTCTACATGTGAGAAAATTGAGACCCAAAATGTTAAGCGACCTGTTGTTATCAGCTGTTACCCACATCTGAGGACTGTAGATTCTTTATATACTGGGTCTCCTCCTTGGAATGATAAAAATAAAGCAAATTTTTATTGACACTAGTTTTCGGTGGTATTCTAACTCTAAAGTTGTAGGGAAATGTTTTTCCTACAGATTACCAGGCCTTAAGTATTATTGGTGGTGTTACAGTTAGGTTAGTTTTCTTCTGTTTCGGTGTCTCAAGGACTATTCATATTTATTTATCACTGGCACCACCATCAGCTCGAATGATAGTTCCCTCATCCCTGCATAGCAGTACCATCTCAAAGATTGAGGGCTGTGGACTCTCTTTCCTGAGTGTGGCTATTGCATCGTTGTTTACATGTGACCCCATTCCTAGCTGTGCCGGACAGAACATGTCCAGAGTAAGGACTTACTAGATTTTGTTTGTATTTCTTTCCCATTTCTATAATTGGTCTGAAATCTTCCCATTTTCTTGATGTGTGTTTGGATAATACTGTTCTGAGAATCAAAATACTTTGAAAATTTTTAAAAATTATCTTTAAATTTGTGTATTTATTTATCAGCTGAGTATATATTGAGCAATGCTATGGCCATGCACTGTAGTAGGCACAGAAAATATAGATAGGCAGACATTCATTCTGGCTTTCTAAGCATTAAATATCTAAAACTGGAGAAGGGGTTAGTGCAAAGATACTATATTTGCAATACACTCATAGAAAATAGAAGTATTTCATGTGTGTGACCACTGGGTTTCATTTGCATTGAAGGTGGTATACACAAAGTCAGAATGGTCTTCCCAAAATGACTGGATTTCAGAAACTCATATTTAAGCTGAGATGCAAACTGCCTTCTAGAAAACATCAGAGTTGCCATGACCTGTAGTAAGCATTTTCCTGTCCTGGCAGCCATTTCCCAAATAACCAACTTGGAGGCTTAATTATTTATAAATGCTCAGCCGATAGCTCAGGCTTGATACTAGCTAACTCTTACATTTAAATTAACCCATATTTTTTATCTGTGCTTTGCCATGTGGGTCTTGGCTTGTTACCTCATTTCTACACATCCTGCTTCCTCAGTGGCTGACTGGCATCTCCAGACTCTGCCCTTCTTCCTCCCAGCTTTGCAGTTTGGCTGTCCTGCCTATGCGTCCCACCTGACTGCGGGCCAATCAGCTCTTTATTAACCAGTGAAAGTAATGCATATTCAGAGTGTGCAGAAGAGTTATTCCTCAGCAGTGGTCACTGTCTTAGTTACTGTTGCTGTGATGAAGCACCACAAACAAAAGCGACTGGGCAGGAAGGGATTTCTTCAGCGTATAATTCCGGGAGCAGTCCATCACTGATGGGGGCAGTCAGGGGAAGAACTGGAGCAGGGCAAGAGCATGGAGGCAGGAGCTGATGCAGAGGCCGAGGAGGATGCTGCTCACTGGCTGGCTCCCCACCGCTTGCTCAGCCTGCTTTCTTATAGAACCCAGGACCACCAGCCTGGAGATGGCAACACCCACAATGGGCTGGGCCCTTCCACATCAATTTTTACTTAAGAAAATGCCCTACAGGTTTGCCTACAGTCAGATCTTATGGAGACATTTTCTTAATCGAGGTTCCCTCCTCTCAAATGACTCTAGCTTGTGTGTCAAGTTGACATGAAACTGTCTAGCACACCTGCATCTCTAGAGACCTTGCCAGATTTCCAGATCGTTAGGATTCCTCTGCATCTACAAGGACTCCAGGTCCTAGTAAGCTAGATAATTACAGGATAGGCAGTACTCTGCCCCAGGAGGAATTCACAGTAGAGGTGAGCCTCAAGTGTGACCTATCCTTAATCCATGGAGGCCTGGATGATATAGGTAGCTAGTCAGCTCCAAATGTCTGCTGGTGGTTACAGCCCAGGTGTTTAGTGGTCAGGAGGCCTAAGAGAGAATATAGTATGTAAACATTTACTTTGCGTTCCCCAGGAGTCAGAAACAGACTAGGAATAGTCCTTGGGCGTTTTTTTGTTTATCTCAGACCTTTTTTGTTTTTAGCCAGTTGTCAACTTTTATACTCTTGAAAGTGTGAAGTTCAGTTTCTGACGCACTAAATACTACCTGATCTGGCTACTTTGGATCCACTTTTCCCAATGCCATCAACTGGCAGATTGACTGGAAAGGAGACGCTCCTGAGGAGGAGGGTCCAGTTTACTGATGTCCTTGCCACCACCTGCTGTTTTAGACTTAGCTTATTGCACATTTTTTGAGTTTGAAACACGTTGCCTAAGTTTTCCAGTTGTGGTCATTGTATCCTGGAGTTTTCTGCTACAGGCTGTTTAATCTTTGAGACGAGCCCAAATACCAGGTCCAGGCCCAGCTGATGTCAGAGGTCATCCTTTCTTTAGTGCTGTTGTGTTGACACAGCACACTCCAGTCTTTTTTGGGATAGCTACTAAATCAATGTGATAAAGCCAGTAAGAAAGGAATCACAGGACTTCCCAACGTCATTGTCAGTTTATTAGACATTGATAATCACCACTTACTAGCTTTTTAACACTTTTTAGCTATTCAAGCATGACTGCTAAGAAAAACTTGAGAAATATCTTTATAGTAACTATAGAGGTATTGAGGAAAGACTTTTATGTGATATTTATTAATATTGTACAGTACAAACAACAACACACAGAATGTATTCTTTCCATTGTCTTTGGTCGTGAGTTGTGCTTCTGTCCTTGTGGTATTGTTTGTTAATTTAAATAAAATTCTGTCCTTTCCTACTGTTTTCCCTTTTATCTTCTGAATACATCTGTTCTTTTTCAGGTGGTGGTGGCAGGCACAATAATAATTCAGAATATTGGAGGTAAGCATTGAGAATGGATCACGTATGCATACAGCTAATGGAAATAGTTGTTTCCCTGGCTCCTTGCCATTTTCCCTCTGCTTCCCCCCCCCCAGTCGCTCCCATTGCCGGACACTTCTCTAGTGGGAATAGTGCCCTGTGGGCTCTGTACAGGCAGGTATGCACAATGTCCCCATGCAGCTAAGAAGTTAAAAATGACCAGGTGACTTGTAACACGTCTGAGGGCAAGAGGCATCCTCAAGTTTACTTTTCCCCTGGTTCCTACTAAAAACTGATCATACAACTGATCCTAATTATGAGAATTGTGTAGAAATGAAAATCACTATTAATCATAGACAGTTGACTGAATGTATTAAACATTTAACTCCAAAGTATGAGAATTGTGTGGACATGTTGCAAACAGATTGCAGAGAGCTGAGCTGTGTCTTTGTTTCTTATCTACCGTTAACTAGAATGCTAAGTAAATACTGTCAGAGTCATAGAAAACCCACAAGGAAGTGGCATGCACTTTGGATCTTACCCAAGATTGGGTGCTCACAAGAAGTTTTAATCATTTTCTTATATCTAATAGTTTTAAATAACTGAAAGGTGATACCTAAGATCTAAGCCATTTCACTCTAATTATTGTTCAACTAAACTGTGCCTTTAGTGAGTACTTTGATACAGGTGCAGGGCAGGGGTCCCGTCAGTGAGTTGTTTTGGAATTCTGAATGTCCACGTTTTAATGCTTTAAATGTCCACAAAACAGTGACTTCATACTTCACTCCAGAAACCAGGAACACTAACCTCATCCTTTGGGAATTTTTGTGGTGCAATTAATTTTAAGATTTGTTGTGGAACAATTTTTAATTAGAAAATATGTATTGCTTAACTTAGTGATGTTTCCTCTGCAGGTCCTTATTAAGACCTATCAGATTTAGTTCAGATCAGATTGAACCATTTCTTAATAATTTATGATGAATTTTTAGTTTAGGAATTTGAATCAAAGTTTTTTTATCTTGTCTTGTGTTTCCTATACCTTTCACCATAGTAGCTTCTCTTTCTCTAACCTGATTTAGACATGACTGTTATAACCTTGTCTGAGGTTATTTCCGCATGTATTTCTATTCTGTACATTAAGTTTTTCTAGTATGTCACATTCTGTAGCCTGAAGGCTTTTCTGAGTCCCACCTGGTCCTGCACGACTTATAAAATAATCAGTCAGAGACTTATATTAATTATAATTATTTGGCTGATGGCTCAGGCTTACTACTCACTAGCTCTTACATTAACTACCCATTTCTATTAATCTGTGTACTGCCACATGACCTGTGACTTACCAGTAATGCTCTGGGATCTTACTTTTCCATCGGCTGCTGGCATCTCCTTGACTCCATCTTCTTTCTCCCTGTATATCTGTTTGGATTTCCTGCCTAGCTAATATTCTGCCCTGTCATAGGTCAAAGCAGCTTTATTCATCAACCAATAAAGACAACACATATTCACAGCATACTGAAGGACATCCCACATCACCACTCCTCTTTGTACTCCCAGTAATCAACACAGTGTCTGGAACTTTGCTGGATTGAGGGGTGCATAAATGATTATTATTCTTTATCTAACTTTTTGGAAGCTGGAGAGATGGCTCAACAGTTAAGAGCACTAGCTGCTCTTTTAAAGGACCTGGGTTCAGTTCCCAGCACCCACATAGCAGCTCATTATTGTCTGTAACTGAAGTTCCCGAAAGAGTTCATGGCCTCTTCTAGCCCCCAAAGGTCCTGCATACATATGGTGCACAAACATACATGCTTATAAAACACCATACAAGTAATTTTTAAGTGAAAATAAGTGGGGAGTGGTGGGACTGGGGAGACAACTCGGTTGGTAAGGTACTTGCTTTACAAACAAGAGGGCGTGAGTGCAGATCCTCGCACTCATAAGCAGCCCAGAGTGGACGGTCACGGGGAGCTCACTGGCAACCAGTAGAGCTGAATCCATGAGCACCAGGTTCAATTGGGTGCCCTGCCTCAGAAAAATAAGGTATTAAGCGATGGAGAAAGAACCCTTGTTGACCTGTGGTCTGTGCACTCACCCAGAATACTCGGTCCATCACTAGTGTCAAAGCTGACCATGAAAGATAAAGAAACTGGACTAATCCAGTATTTTCTGGGGAGCAAACTTGGTTGTGATGTATACAAGTTCACAGAGAAGCTGATTTAGGTTCCTGGTCTAGAATACTCTTCCTTGTTTTGTGTTTCCCAGCAAAGTACTATTGACTGGGGGATTTGTAGTAAACAGTTAGTAGCTTTTGGAGACTGGAAGTCAGAAATCAAGGAAAGCCACATCCAGTGAGGGTTTTCTTAATGTAATCATGTGACAGTGAAACTCTTAGCCTTGAGCCCTTACAATGGGCTAAACCCAAATGTAAAGTTGGAGTCTCATGACCTAAACCTATTCCATCAGATTCCACCTCAAACACTTCTGCATGTTAGGACTCTGTTTCCTAGACACATAGTTTGGAGGACACTGTCAGACTTAGCCAACAGCTCTGTCAGTAAGCAGTGTGATTGAAGTGGAGATGACCCACACTTTTAAAAAGTGTGCTTTTTCCTGAAAGCATTCAAATAGAACTGTTTGGCCAATTGTCTGGCTGATGTGGAAAAGATTCTTGGATCATCGGGTCTCTGCGTTCTTAAGGTTGTTGCTTTGCTTGCTTGTTTTAGAACTTTCGAAAGACAACTTAGATGCTGTGGCAGCATTTTAAACATCCTGTAAGCTCAGCCAAGATAGCCATGTTTATTTTAGAATGATGTCTCATTATTTTATTCACATTACTTGAGAGTTTGTTTATTGAGAGCCTGTGAGTAGTAAGTGAAAGTGTATTTCCGAGCTTTTCTTTTCTCGGCTAAATGTGTATAAATGACTCCTTCATTGTCATAGAATGTGAAACTTACCCTTGAGAGCAGAGTCCTGGCTCGGCTGTCAGGTGCCTTGTTTTCTGGCCCCAGTCTTTGGTCAAGTAGGCACATGCTTCACGGGACACCCCCCTCCTCTCTCTCATTCTCTTGGCTTTGGTTTTGCCTTCGTTGAAGAATTCAGTTGGGAAATAGAAAGCTCAGAGTTTCCTCTCATCCGGAAATAGGGATTCTGATGTGGTCCTTAGGGAAGGTGTGTTAATTCTCTCAGGCATTAATGGAGCAGAGTCTGTATGTTCAGCTAGGTGCTGTGTCTTAAAGCTTCTTAACTCTTGCAGTCTTTTTTTATGTGTGCAACAAGGTCTAGGTTAGCCTGTAACTTTCGGCCTTGGCCTCCTGAGCACTGGACCACAGGTGTGCACCACCACACTCTGGGATTAGTGCTGCTGCAATGAAATACCCGAGGAGGAAGGGTTTGCTTTGGCCTTTGGCCACAGAGCAAGTGGTCACAGTAGCACGGTTGGGCTGCGATACCCAAGGCTGCTATCAGCTGCTGCCCACGGGCAGGAAGTGGAGAGCTGGGACTGGTGGTGTGCAGCCTTCTGTCTCCATTCAGTTCAGTCCAGGACTCCCAGCCATGGAGCTGGTTCTGTCCACAGCTGAGGTGACTTTCCACCAAAGCTAAGCTAAGCTAGGTAATACCTCAAAGGTCTGTCTCCTAGGAAGTTCTAGATCCTGTCATGTTGACAAACGTTGTAGCCACCGCACCCGGCTTCTCTCTATTTTTCTTTTTAAAAACTTTTTAGTTAAAAAATTTCATACAATATATTCCATCCATATTTTCCCCTAACCCTAGCTTGTTCTCTGTGCTGTGCGATATTTAACATCTCAGCCTTCCTGCTTCAGTCCCCAACACTAAAAGGAAAAACGAGATGAAATGATGATAAATTCATAATTTCTCTTTACTTATTCTGTGGGTCTTTTGGTGAAACCCTAGTTTATTCCCTTCTCATAGCCCATAAACAAAAGTGAGGCACTAGCCCTAACCACAGGCACCAGTGTGATCTACCAAAGACATTGTGGTGGGGGCTTCCTTCAAATAACCCCTAAAATGCCACTTTCTACATCTAGGACTCTTAAGATCTTAGAATTATCAGTCTTTGGAAAGTGGAGAGCCATCTAGAAAATAGTACTCACTTGTGACTCTGCTCTCTCAGCAGTGATGATTGGGAGCCTGAAAGAGACGGTTGCTGGGTATAGCCCTCTGTGTCCTCTACCTCAGGCAGAGCTAGCGCTAGTGTTTGCTGTGAGTTCTTGCTGGGACAGAGGGAGAAAGGAGGAATCCTAGAACTCTAATGTTGAATGCTGTTGCAGGCAAGAGAATGCTAACTCAGGGTTTGAACTCAGTAAGCTGCCTTCTGAGAGGACTAAGAAGTGTGGTGGGAGGGCAGGCTAGTTCTCACAGCCCCTACCCATTCTGTTAAATTGCTCGCTTGTCCCACAATCTGAGAAGTGGTTCGTTTTACATTAAATTGACCATTCTGTCACTAGAAATCAAACAGCAAACCCCAGCTCTTCTTAGTTAGTCAAGGAAAGTCCTATCCACTCTTGGAAGTCCACAATTAAAATGAAGGCGGTTAATGTTCCTAATTCATGGCTTGCTCAACTCCAAACATGGAAAGGTGAGTGGCTCCAGGCTATGTGCCAATTTATTCTGCTTTTATAACATGTAAGTCATCATTACAGATAGCATACTCTTTCCTTAATTCCCCAGGTCCTCACAGAAGAGTAACGATTTAATCACTACATTGCCAGGGGAACCCTAGTTTCACTGAAACCTCCTGAAATAGCTAGAATGGCCCAGGTTTCCCTCTTTGTCACTGAATCCACATACTTGATTAGCAGCCCCGATTAACACCTCAGTTAGGGCTGGGAGGAATGAGAGAACATCAGCAGCCTGTGAAACAAAATGGTGTAAGGTCTGTATCTAATAGACTACAGAAATCTCAGATTCCCATTATTGGACAAATCCATTATGTAATGTTAGACAATTTAAATTGTTTTCTTGAAGCAAGTCTGAGATACATCAGTTTGTCTTGCCCCTCA